CACATATGATGCATACGCCACATAGATGCCGCCACATAGATGGTGTTCCGGATTTTAAATTGTGCGCACAAGAGTTTTAGATTTGAAGTCTTAGTACGTGATCAGCCGCATGGGCAAGCCGGCTACGTCCGCAGCCTGTAAACGGTGTTTTCGTCAATCGGCAAATGCTCCACCAATGACGCTGGCTTACAGTGCCTACTCACAGTGGTACTCACGTGCGGTGATTCGACAGGTCGTCACTGACCCGGGCGCTGAAGGCATCACCGTCGGAGCCGTCCAGCACACGCCACCAGCATCCAGACAGCGGGATGTCGCACGTTCGGACAGCGACAACGTCTACAGAATGATTAACGTTTTGCTTAACCTTGTGCGTCCGCGATCATGAGCGCGGCACGGAAATGTCGGGTTTGCTCAACATAAAAGTTTTTGCCCGATAGCGCTGTTTGACTAGCACCTCTTGACATTTCTAGGATCGGTTGTTTTCAACATAAGAAGTTCCACCTCGTGAACGCATTGAATTTCGTCATTTTCTCGCCTGCTTGGTATAATTATAGTGTATCCATCACTACCTGTTGTATGAAAAGAACGGTTCCTCATAGTCAGACCTACTACACTAGTTGGTAGATTTGTTATCTGGTGTGAGGAGTTTCACAGTTTGCATACTTGGATGTTCTTATTTGCAGATGCGACCTTTTCATTCTCAAGAAGTTTACACGCACAGACCAAGGCAGAAGTCCAAGAAGAAAGAAGGAAGTACGGGAAGGAACAACACATAATATCTGCTTAGTCTCCAGGTTAAACCAGCAAACTCTTAAAAAGGTAGATATGCGAAACAGTGCACATTGACCTAGTGTGTGACCTAATATGCGACCACGGTGACCTCACTGAACGTGGTTCTGCAGTTGCCCCCCAGACTTGCAGTGAGATGTCCACCTGCCACGCGCTGTGAACTGGAGTTGTGTGCACAGAACATAGATGGCGCAGCGAACAGTAATTTGCACTTGGACTAATCAGCTGACCGGGGTGACCTTGGGCGAGCTGCGCGGTATGGCTCGCTGGCTACCGTCTCTCGAAAGTCTTCAGGATTAAGGGAAACCGCGAAGAGGACAACGCGATACTTAGAACAAACTTAGTTATCTATCTGGAACTTCCGCCTGGACTGCAGTAATTATCAAGGGCATCGTGTTGCGTCTTTGCCCCAACACTCGAACACAGCTCTACTTTAGCAGTCAACTAAAAACTAATGCGTGTGGATGCACAAATGTGGGAAAAAATACTTCCTTCGGATGATGCAAACATTGGCTGTCCCTCGCTCGTCCAGCTCAGAGGAATTGTTAGGCATCCTCGTGACTGCTCCATCCCCCCCATCAACAATGTCAGGGTCCTAACCCGAAACACCATCCTGTCTTCACCCGACACACCTGCGATCTCGGAGGACTGCGGTGATGGCTGGAGTCTCCCCGACGCCCGGCAGGTGTGGCCCGAAACGCCGCCAGCCGACAACGTCGGCACCGCGCGACAGTCTGAGAAGTCCTATTTCCGTGCGTAGTTGAAAGGTGTTGGTCCACAACTCCGTGGTGCAATTGTGGTGGCAGTGAATTAACACCGTCGCACGGTGTAGGACGTGACGTCATATGTTTTACAATTATCAGTTCTTCAAGTCCTATCAGCTCAATAGCACCCTAAAGTCGCCGTGCGAGTAAAATGTGAGGAGAACGCAAAATGGCCCCAGTAGCTGACGCGCTCTATAATATCAATCACCATCATCATATAGTGATAGTCAGACCGATGCCTGCTTGGCGGTTACGTCTTGGGATAGCACATTTGTCCATTGTGTGTCATTGGTTAACTACCTGCAAAAAACGCCTTTCGAATGAATTTGTCGTTGCGTCATTTGTCGTCGCGAACGAGACCGCGGTCTGAGCGGTTTCTATCATAACGTAAGACAATTCCTGCGCATAACTCCTCACATCTGCTTTTTCAGCATCGGGTGTGGTGCGTCCTGCCCTAACGCCACTGGAGCGGTACATGGGCGCCCTGGAGAAGAGCTGCGAGGGTCAGCACGAGGCCCGGGAGGCGCAAAGAATTCATGGTTGCCCTGCTGACCAGCATGCCGCACGGCGGAGGGATTCCGAGACATAAAGCGGAAGATGCTCGACGAGGAATTTGCGGATCATCCTGTTCGTCCTTGCCTGAAAAAATTAAAAATGCCTACGCGAAAAAGCCTCACTCTGCTATGGCATTGGTTCGGTTCATACGCGTCTTACTTCCGCAACTGGTGTCGTGAAAATCCCACACGATCCTGCAAAGTGTATTTGTGCAACTAAGCTGCTTCTGCTGGCAGCCGACACCCTTTATCCGTTATTAAACTGCATGTCAGTTAACGGATGCTTGATCAACAGCGTTGAACCGAGGCTTTTGCAAGCTGCCTATCGTAAATACACGTAAATGCCTGCTTACAGGTAGTGTTACTTGCACATCGATTACGAAACCCTCAAAACTCCATCCCCGGCCTGAATGGAGACGCTTCATGGCTCCAAAATGGGCCTTTAACTCTGTGACTAGCGTCGATGCCATCGCACTGGCCCGCTTGTCGCGCGGGTATACGCATCCGCCCATTGAGCGAAGCGATGTCACTACCAACATGCACGAATAATTCTGAGGGAATTTTCTGGAGGCAGGTCACCAGGCCCATGAAAACCAATTCCAGTGGCTTCGGCGCGGACCATGGTCCCGAGCCCGCACATGACCGCGGAGCGGGCGAGTTTTGAGTGGCAAAAAACAGCAGCACTGCCTGCAAAAATCTGCAACTGTGCGATCCAGAAGAAGCCACCAGAATCTGAGCCGTGCCACTTTTGCCAGCTGGGCGGCGTTTAGTGCTCTCCCGCCCCGCACGCGCCCCGGCTTGTGCATGCCGGCGATGCACTGTAATGCCGTCTTATGGCGATCTGTATAGTTTGTATGGTCTAACGAGTAGCGGTGGTTTACCCAACTACAACGTTTCATTGTCACGTATCGGGCCTGAGCTGGCAGAAAAGCCACTCCGGTAGAGTCGCCTATCTGTTTTGTTATGTTTTTCTCTAATTGTCGCTCCTTCACCTACAAGTGGCATTTCGACCCCAAAGATTATCAAGTGCCGCTAACCTAGCTTCATGTAGAGGTCGAACTGTCTGGTTTCAAGGTGGCATACCTGTCTCGACGACGTTTACTTTTCTCTTTACCTGTACTGCCTAGATCGGCAATCTCCAACTGATATCCCACATAAAGACCGAGGGCTGCAGCGTTGCAAAGATGACTGCACCGCTTTGGTTCGCCGTTCCCATGGCAACGATCGAATGACGCAACGTCTGTGTCGGTATGAACCGCTCGTCATACTGGCGAGGAAAGGTCAACCCGACCAGAGGAAGACTCAAACAGCGATGACTTGTCAAAAGAAACCGGGTCCTTTCTCTTCGTCATGAATTATGACGCATTGCATCAGCATCCTTCATGGCCTTAAGCCCAGAGGCATGAGCCAGTGGACGCGAGAGGGGCATATTCAGTTCGGTAGATAACGAGTTAAAGCAAACGGCCAGAAAAAGAGTGAACACGAATTTGGGAACCGGGTAGAAGTTAGGCACACAGAGACGTGGGTGATGCACCAAGAGCGTAATCTGCCGCTTGCTTCAGGTGCCATTAACCGGATGATCGGACCACCCGTCCGGCTCCCTCCATTATGAAAACGACGGCTTACGAGTTGAGGCCTCCCGAATTCGACTTTTACTGCACTCATTGCGCCCGCAAAGCCGCCACATGCATCCTCGGCACGAACCAACACGGCCACTTTTTTATTCTTCGCAAGCGTTGGCGCATGAGGCGGGAATGCGCCCACCCATGATGCTTCTCCTCAATCTGCACGATTGGATGGTGTCGTTGAGCCCGACGTTTGCTATTGGCTTAAATGACTTCCGGCGCACGGAATGGTCTCACGTGAATTGCAGAGCGAATGCCGATCTTCAGCAGCCACCTTCATCTAAACCAGTTCATTGCCGATTATTCAAGTCACGACCCAACCTTTTCGATGCTTGCCGCGTTGTATTTTAACATTCGGTTCCGGCTCCGGCAATACATGACGATAATTGGTGAACACATTCCACGGTAGGCAGAACACACAAGAACATTAGCAGGACAGCAATGGTCTTCAGCTTCTCCTTTTTCATCAACGCAGTTCCGGTTCTAAAGACATCCGTTCAGTTCACTCGCTCACATCTTTTCACATTATATTTAGCAAATGACAACTACACGGTAGCGACCATCAAGGGCGGATTTTATCGAGTGGTTCACGTATAAAATGGGTGCCGAACCAAGCTAGGTACAGATTCGGGGAAAGATGTGAGTATGGGGACGGGCTGGAGCAAGGTTTTCACGAAATGTCGGATAGATGCATGCAGACATGCCTGCACAATCCAGACATACTACTTCCAGACGTACTTAGAGACACTTGCCGCTTATAGTTTTTTCAGTCACAATTAGTGCACACTGCTTTTGCTCCGCTCACACTACTTTTGTAATTCGCAACGCAAAGGAGTAAGTGATGAGCTTCCATGAAACTCCTTGATAGTTCAGGGCTATTTCATAGACAAATACAAACGAATGGATAGCAGGTGCGCGCAGCTGATCGGGAACGGATAGGGGATGGATATGGATGGACACGGCTAGAGGACTAGCGGGAGCAATGGGTAAAGGCGCTCCCGAGTACAGCAACGTCCACTACACGAACCTCCCCGTGCACAACTCCCCAAGCAAGTACCAACAACAGCTACAGAACTAACGGAAGCAATGGGTAAAGGTACCCCTGAGAGCAGTGACGTCCGCTGCACGAATCTGCCCGGCACAACTCCCCAAGCAAGTACCAACAAAGCGTGCAGTAGCAAAACACCCCTGTGACAGCACACAACGACCAATAGCGATCACTAGCAGAGCTGAGCCTGAGCCGGACAGAGCCAGCCAGGGCTCGCCCCTTATAAGCCGTCGTCTGCGGCGCTGGTGGCGCCACCTGCAACGGGCACCGCTCCCTCGGCGCTGGCAATGTACAGCTCGTTGTCTACCAGGTTCTCTGTGGACAGAAGCTCCTCCCAGAGCAAGGGCTGCTGTGGTGGTGACGGTGGTGGTGGTGGGACCTCATCGGGAGCCCTTGTTGATACGGGACCCTCTGGGCGCGCCGTATCAGCTGGCGGAAGTTGGAAGAGATCCTCCTTAATCTCCTCGTACATCGCATCATCAAACTCTGAGTCACCGGCGCCACTTGCTTGCACGTTTGGCCCGCCTATCCTGTCACTGTCTGCCCCATTCCGAGGTCCCCCTGCTGGTGAGACGCAGGACGCGGCCAGCACGAGGCGGCTCCTGCGACGTCGGACGATCAGCACGGCCGCCAGCGCCACGGCCAGCACCAGCAGGACCCCGAGCCCGCCGAAGAGCGCCAGCCGGTGCTGGCTGTCCAACTGTCCGGGTCCATGACCGGCGCTGGCGGCTCCGGGACAGCGAGGGTCGCCGCTGGCGGGAGACGTCGCGGCGTCGGCGTCGGCGAGACACATGCTCTGGAGCTGCCAAAGCACCTGGCTGCGCGGCTCGGATGTGCTCGCGGACACCAAGCGACGTGTCTGCTTCCTCGCCGGACACGCGGGCGGAAAACGCACGTCGAGGCCGCTCAAGCAGACCAGCGTGCCCTCAGAGAACGTCAGTGACCCGCGGAAAGCGTTATGAATCAGAAGGTCCCTTATGATTAGTGGCTGGTCAGCACCCACGGTGCTTTTGCTTACACGGAGACCAATCAGACCGCGGGGCTTGAGGTGGTTGATAGTGTTATTCGCGAGCTCGATCGAACCGCTAGCGTTCACGCTCAGTCCGTTGGAAGAAAGCGTCCCAAAACGTGAGTTACTGATCTTCAGCCAAGTGACATTCACGTGAATAGCGTTTTCTGGCAGCTTTGTGAAGTTGGTGTCGCTGATGATCATTTCTTGAATGTTACCAGAGAGGGCGAAAGGCGCAGTGTCAGAGAAGAGCACGGAATGAATAGTCAGCTTTGCCCATCCATCCGAGCCATCCAAACATCCTTTATCGGCGGCATCTACTGTCATATTGGACAGTTCCAGATGGTGAATACTCCCAGCGAAGAGCTTTTCTTCGCAGCTTATTCTCCCGCCCGTCATGAGCAGATGACGGACTGCTGATGTGAACACTTGTGGTGCCGTCAACAGCCGGACGCGAATCAGGGCCATGTCGGGTCCCAAAGAGCTGGAAGTGTATGTGAAGGCGTTTGGCGAGGCAATGCACTTTTGAATGTCTTCAAAGGTAATTGTAGTGTTTTGTGACCAGAAGCCAGATAGACCTGAGCTTTCTATACGTAATTTTTTCACAAAGCGAATTCCCAAGGTGCGCATGCTGTTAGATTCTTGAAGCCTCATGCCTTCGTACCGTATGGTGACATTTTCTACTTCTGTAATCGTGACAGCCTTCAATGACGTCAACTGTTCCAAGGCGAGACTCTGGATTTTAACAGCTGACGAGTTTGAAATCTGGATGTTTTGAACAGTCGGTGGTATCTCGTTCTTGATTAGGGGGATCTGAAACAAAATACGTTTCATGCAGCATTATCAAGTGTAGCACTATTGCGTCCAACCCACAGCCCGGTCATCTGGCTGTAGTTTCTCACCCGATGACGAAGTTATGACACTTAGAACTGACACTATGACACTTAAGAAGCTATGACACTTAGGCTTTCGGCAGCCAGGGCAGCCAGCAGTATAAAAAGCGTCCGTTGTCTGGTCCGAGGTCTATTTCCAACTATCATTATTGGTTTGGTTTTGTTTAGCTTTCGTTTTTAATTTGATGGTATCCTTCCTTTCTTTAGTGTTCAAAAGTCCTAGGCGCATTGCCCCGTTTGTCTTGGAACCCATTTCGTGTAAATGTATAATGACCTGGCATGCTTTTCATGTCATTCCCTGGTGCGCTTTAGAGTCCATGAAAGCAGCTGGTTGAAAAGCAGGTGCACAACAGACGTTCTCAGCCGCTCATTGACTTTTTTGTTTCTTCTTCACACCTTTTTTTCTCCACATTGTCGCGTTCAGTTTCAACAGGCGGTGCAAATGTGGGAGAGCCTTGGAATTATTGCAATCAGTTGTTGCCAATATCATATATACAGCTACACAAAAATATCCCACCTACGCCTGTCGCCCACAGGTGTGTAAGAAATGAATTATTATTAAAACAAATGATGACAATGAATTAATATTAAAATAAATTATTGAAATGAATTATTATTGAAATAGATTATTAAAATGAATTATTATTTAAATAAATGATAAAATACTGACCGCTTTTGGCATCAAACGTTAGTAGCCCCACTTTGCGTGTCCAGTTGGCCGCTGACCAATAGCTGCACATAACCAACCCGTTAGCCGGGTGTCGTCACGCTTGGGCGGGCAGCGCGCGTTGTGTCAGCCTGACCGGGCGGGTCGTACGCAGCTGTTAGCATCCACCCCGTTCGAGCTCCGGTGCTTGGAAAGAGCACGTCATTCAAACCATGCGTGGTCTCTGGTCCACCAGAAGCTGAAACAATGTATGTCCTCATGGCTTCACTAGTAATGTACCAACAGTAATGTGACTTGAAACTCCCTTCAGAAGTTGTTGTCGTCGCCTAACGAATCAACCGCTGCATCAGCTAGTCCTGGGGATCGCGAGGCTATTCCACTCTCTGTGATTGGCTTAGCCCACCAGTCTCGGTCATCGTACGATATCGTATACGTTTCTCATTGGTTGATAATGGCGCAATGTCACACTGTTTCTGTACCACGTGTTCATGACCGTTTACGTCTGAAAGCAGTATATAAGGCGAGCGGCCTGTTACCGTGCATATTCATTAGATGTAGAAATACGCTGAAGCACAAGGCTGCTGTTGGCGGTACGTGTCGACTCGTTGGTGTTGAATGGGTGTTAGTGAATGGTGTTGAATGGGTGTTGAATAGGTGTTAGTGATGGTAAGATACTGCTCAGTAGAAGCCTTGGACTTAAGGATTTGTCTTTGCCCGACTTGCAAGAAGGACTTGCACGACCCAAGTCATCACCAACATAATTATCAGACAAACATTAAACAGTTTTCTACATGCATATCTTGGCTGTAGCGAAAGAGCATGCGCCAGAAGACAAGCTTTTCATGCAAGGTCAAGTGAAATTCGTTTTCCTCAAATGCTATGCATCAAGGTGAACATCAAATGCCAGTGAACTATTCCTATAAACCTCAAAATTTGATACAAGTGATATGCATGCACACCAGCCCGCCTCATGAATTTGATGCATCTAGCTCTCTTAGTTTTTGAGGTCTCAGAATGTTCAAATTCATCCCCACCCGAGAGAAAGGCATAGTGTAAGGGCACTGAGCCTGGATCGCTATGATTTAGCTCAAATCCACCAGTAATTGTCAACATGGTAATTACCACGGTGCACCTCGTTTCCCGACACATTCACAACTATAACGCCAAGATCTGCGAAGTTCAAGGTCGTTACACCCTAACCTCCACGATGTTTCTCAAACTCATGTCAGTGGTGGTGTTAAACATTATTATAATGCTGCACATCGTTTTCCGCCACACTAAAAGTATGATCAATAAATGCATTCAAAGTGAAAAGTCACTCAACCAGTACCATTACGATTCATCTAAAGCTGGTGCCATTGGTTAAGTTTGATATGCTGAATACGATGGCGCAATTTGGTTGGAGTCGAGTTAAAAAGTATGGCTTCAACAGGTCCTCAAGAGTCGATATCATTGAACTCGCACCCTTCATAATCTTGTTCCATCTCTCATCATAATCAGTTCTCAGCATGTAAGCATAGTGGTAGCATGTCCAACACTACTAGTGACATTCATATGAGCCAAATCACATAAATCCGGTTTCATTTATATAAAATCTCAATGGGATCTCTGGATCACAGTTTAAGACATAACAGTTAACGACATGCACCATTATAGTCGCTATGACCTTGAATTTTGGACATATGTTGAGGTCATAGCTTTGAATGAGGTGGTATATGAAATAGCCATCATCGCCAGCATGTTGAACGCTACTAGAGTTATTAAATGGAGCAGTATCACATAGGCGCGTCTTCGCTGATCTTGAATTTCGATGACTTTTAGAGGTCATAGTTTTTAATATGGCCGTTCACGACATGCACCAGCGTGATAAGCACGTGGATCATAGTGGTATGCGTTTAAAGGGAGTGCTTCACATTTAGATGGGGTTTTGATTTGAAATAGCTGTTTTGAAGACCTTTCGGTGCTGTTCACAATTCTGTCCTTCTAAAGACCTAAGCCCTCCAAGTTTCTGAGCTATATTCCCGCGAAAATCGGGGTAGCATATCGGGGAGAGTATTTCAAAGTCACCTTCTCATTCATGGGGTTATAATACTGCCATGTAGATCCTGCCATTTCATAAGCTATGCGGTGATCGAAGCCAAGAAGAATATCATTGTCAAGGCGTTGATATGCAGCGCTCGTGAGTGCGATTTCCAAATAAAACGGCCGCCAACTGGCTGTCAGTTAATGTTGTGCAAGATGCGATGAACTTATGAAAAAATGACGCATTGAGGAGCGTTTTTGCTAACAGAGGATTGTGCCGGCTGAAGCAGATTTTTCCACTCAAAAATTATACCGGTAGTTGGAACTCAACTTGTTTCGTGATATCTGGTGCTTACTTCAATATCTTCAAATGTGAAACATGTCTTTTAAGTAAAAATATCTGGGTCAGTTTTGAAGGTAACTTGAGTGTGGTTGCGGGCATTGCGCTGTCGTGACAGATATTTGTGCAATTTACGCATTTTGACATGCCATTAAACAACACAACCTATTGCTATGTGGACTTTAAGGACTGCTGAACAGAACGCTTGCATAAAAAGGCTCCTTGCCTGGAAGCAATCGCTGTCATGGCTTAGAGAGCCACCAGCTTTCAATTTGACGGGAGGGGAAATGCGCAGTTGTTTTCCCATGTAGGTTGCTGGTGATGCGATATCAAGAAAATTATTTTAGCCCAAACCACAAAGACGTCTCTGCATAAACGGGGGCGGGGCGCTGAGCCTCACCCCGTGCTGACTTCAGTATTCCATCACCCCCCCCCCCCCCCCCCCACCTTTCCTATGGCTTCTCTGAGCTAGGTGTTACACCCTAAAGTTTGTTAATCATTGGTATGCTGGGTAGCTGTACAAGCCACCGGCAGCCTCATGTTCATTTTGTATCAGATAGCTTCCTACAGGCTGTAGGTACCTAATGCTTTTGTTCTTCATATGTTACGGAAGTGTGCGTTTGAGAAGTTTTTAAGATGATCTACCTGGATTGGGATAACAAACAATTTACTTCATTATGCAGCAGCTTCAAAAAGGCAGGGTGAGCTTGATAAATGGTTTATACATGTTTCCCCGACATTGGCAAGTGTACTGTCACACAGTTGTGGCTGTGGTGGTATCTGAATACAATTTGAATGATAATGCACAGTCAATAGCAGCGGTAGCCATCAGCAATACCTCAGCAAGATTTACTGAGATGTCTCGCAGTAAACTACACTCCATTCCAAGCTGTCACAAACAGTATGTAGTTGTCATGTCTATAGTTGGCCTTACCTGCTTTAAGGAGGGACACTGGCAGCTGACAGAGGTGGCTCCATCGCAAGCGGGAGTGAATTTGCAGCATGGAATTTCGCACATAGCGAATGGTTTGTCGCCCCGAACACCGGTGAGCAGCACCGACAGATGAACCAGTGCCGGCAGAAGCACCCCGCTGCCTGCAACCAACATGGCCGCAACAGCTGTGGTAACCGGGACGCTAGAGCTGTCCACCGACTGGTGAGTGCCCCTTTCCTGATGTCGACCGACTGGTGATGCCGGCTGTCAGCGCCCGCTGACTGGTGATGCTGACTATTGGAGTCCGCCGACTGGTGATGCTGGCTATTGGCGTCCGCCGACTGGTGATGCTGGCTATTGGCGTCCGCCGACTGGTGATGCTGGCTATCGGTGCCCGCCAGCTGGTAATGCTCACTACTAGCTTCCGCCGACTGGTGACGATGAGTCCTGGCGTGCACCGTCTGGCGCCTCTCCGAATGCCTGGTGACTGCTGACCAGAGCTCTCTTGACGTCCGCTGATGGATGACCTGGACCCCCAGCTCTCCACCAGCTGTTACCAACCCTGCCGTGCACCGTCCGGTGGGGTGGCGGCCGTCTGGCCGGTCCGGCACCGAGACTGTACCTCACTGCCGACTCTCAGCCGGGTGGGGCGGACGCCAGACCACAGGACGTGCGATAGGTGGTCAGACGCCATCCGGGACGAAACCACGGCACTGGGCAGAAGGGGAAGGGGAGGGGGAGGAGATGCGTCCTCCCGTGGGGTCCGGACCAATGCAGAGGCGGGCGGGTGGGGGGTAAAGAACAAGAGCAGGGCGCAGGATGTGGCGGCCGGAGAAGTAAAAGGGTGCCAAGAGGCGAATCTGAGTTAGAGAGAATGGTGAGATAGTCAAGAAGAGCTATACCGAGGCATGCCTCAGGATACATGAGCTCTGGCTCCTCGGGCAATGCCTCTGGCTCCTCGAGTAATGCCTCTGGCCGCTCGGGTGATGTTTCTGAGCTGCGATGGAACATCTCACGGCTCAGAAAATCAGTTGCGTGACGCGGTTTGAGATTTGCGGTTTGGGCTGCTGAGCCACCGCCATACCGAGCCGCTCCAGGTCCGCTCGGTGGCCGTGTCGCCACGTCTGATATCCGCCAGCATCGTCGCTGCTCCAGCTCCGTTCGGCAGCCGGCTGCACGGACACCCTATCGGTCACTTCCGCCGTCGTCTGACGTGGCGGCGCCGGAGACCAAGCTTTGCCGAGACCCTCGCTGGGGTTAGACCTCCACTGGCTCACGAACGGGTCCAGTGGAGCGTCACAGGGTGTCACAGGGTGTCGACTCGGCGGTGCTGCGGCGCCGGAGACCAAGCTTAGCTGAGACCTCGCTGTGGTCGCGACCTCCACTGGTCCACGAACGGGTCCAGTGGAGCGTCAAAGGGTGTCACAGGGTGTCGACTCGGCGACGCGGCGGAGCCAGAGACCAAGCTTAGCCGAGACCTCGCTGGGGTTGGACTTCCACGTCCACGGTCCACGAACGGCTCCAGTGGATTGTCACAGGGTGTCACAGGGTGTCACAGGGTGTGGACTCGGCGACGCGGCAGCGCCAGTGAACGCTGTTTTAAATCTCTGAACGTATTAAGATGTGCTCCGCGCACATCGTATGGCGGAGATCGGAGCACGCTTTTGCTGCTGTATCGGGCAGTCATGCGCTCGAAGCTGGACTATGCATGTTTTATTTATGACAGCGCGCGTGAATCCGCGAAACGGATCATTAACACCATCCACCACACCGCTTTACGTGCCACCACAGAGGCGTTCCGTACATCTCCTACCCCAAGCCTCCTGGTAGAATCTCACGAGCCGTCGCCGTCAGCGAGGAGGAAAATGCTTGGCATGCGTTATGCACTTAAGCTGCGACAGTTCCCGTGGCATCCCGCATATCACGCAGTTTTTCCGCGGTCCGCTGTGCCTTTTGTTCGTCATGCACCTTGGGCGCATGCTGTGACCTTTGGCTCCCGGATACAAGCCTTGCTGCAGGAAAACGAAATTCCCATTTGAAGGGTGAAGCGATCAGGTCATCTGGGCACTCCTCCCTGGCATTTGATCTCACCCTTCACAGACACATCTCTGACTGAAATTAAACAAAAAATGTATCACTGCCAGATATAATGAGATCCAGAGCGCTTGAGCGTATAGCGTTATACGAGGGCCACACAGATACTTACACGGACGGCTCTAAAACCTCTGATGGTGTAGGCTGTGCGTTTGTGAGCGGTGGCGTCATCCGGTCGTTTTCACTGCCCCCAAACGCTTCGGTGTTCACATCGGAACTCATAGCAATCACTAAGGCACTATGTTTCATTGAAGCAGGTGACGAACCCTTACATCTCATGTTGACGGACTCTGAGCAGCGTTTTGAGTATAAAGTCATTTTTATCCATCATGTCACCTTATACAGAACACTACGCAGCCAGGCATGCACTGGTATTGGAGATCAGCGACATGCTATGTTTTTTTTACGCGAAGAAACCCGCGACACCCCCTCTTGACAAGTATATCTTAATTTTTTTGCAAAATAGTTGTTACGTGAAGCTGGCACCATTGTACGACAATATTTGACGACGCGAAGGAAGAGCAAGCAGAGTCAAAAGTCGCCATATTTTGTGCCATTCTTTGATGGACTTGCGAGGCGGCGTTGAAAATGCAATGGTCGCTTTCTTCAGATCGACAAGCTGGAAAGCTGTTTTGATGGTCCCAATGCATTGGTCAAGTAAGCGCACGCCCACACTTTTCATCTTCACATGTCAGCTAGGCATACATCACTACGCATTGAACTCGAGCGCAGATATATCCGCGTTTCTCATCCTCGCAGCATGTGCTACCAGATACACATCATGATGTGGCAACCACGTCAGCAGAACATACCTCGACTACTACCGCGCCAATTGCCTGCCAATGTCGTCGTCATACCAATGGCCTACTCAGGAGTGTTCTAAAATCGGCTGGAGGGGCTTAGCTGACAGGGTTGACATAATTTACCAACAAAACCCGATTTCTCCTCGGGTTTCAGCCGCTGTAAGTTGTGCCCCGGCGTTTTTGTGAAATATCCTTTATTTTTTATTGAACCAAAAACTATATTGCCAGGGAGAAATCAACGTACTGCACTTTGCAATCGCACTTGTCCATCGCATTGTACTGCGCTTGCAATTGTACTTGTCCATCGCATTGTACTGCGCTTGCAATTGTACTTGTCCATCGCATTGTACTGCGCTTGCAATTGTACTTGTCCATCGCATTGTACTGCGCTTGCAATTGTACTTGTCCATCGCATTGTACTGCGCTTGCAATTGCACTTGTCCATCACATTGTACTGCGCTTTGCAATTGCACTTGTCCATCACATTGTACTGCGCTTTGCAATTGCACTTGTCCATCACATTGTACTGCGCTTTGCAATTGCACTTGTCCATCACATGGTACTGCGCTTTGAAATTGCACTTGTCCATCGCATTGTACTGCGCTTTGCAATTGCACTTGCCCATCTCATTGTCTTGCACTTTGCAATTGCACTTGCCCATCGCATTGTACTGCGATTTGCAACTGTACTTGCCCATCGCATTGCGGTGTGCTTGCATTTGCATCCCCACTGCAACCCAATGCTAAACTGCAATTGTATGAGAAGCTTGGCGTTCGTTGTTCACAGCAACATATGTACGTAAACGGACTAATGTGATCGACGAAACGGGTACCGTTTATCGGTCACCGAATCTGGTCCGAGGGGCAAAACGACGGTTTTCTCAGAATAGCGGGGCCTGACATCTGCGAACGAGAAGCCACAAGCAATATTTTACACTGACAGTAAGTACGCTTTTATAGGTTTATTCCGACTGCTTTGCATGCGTGGATTTTGGGCCCCAGGCACATGCTAAACACAGGTTTTTGGGCCCCAGGTACATCCTATACATAGGTTTTTTGCGTGTACCCGGAACCCACCACCAAAACCGTGCCATCTAATTCATCGGATAATTTTGTCTGCGCCACTGCGCCGGACATGACCTCTGAGGGGAGTGCTGACCTCTGAGAGGAGTGCTGACCTCTGAGAGGAGTGATGACCTCTGAGAGGAGTGATGACCTCTGAGAGGAGTGATGACCTCTGAGAGGAGTGATGACCTCTGAGAGAAGTGAGACCTATGATGACCCTGATGACCTCGAGGGAGTGAGACCTCTGAGAGGAGTGATGACCTCGAGAGGGAGTGATGACCTCTGGGGAGTGATGACCTCTGAGAGGAGTGATGACCTCTGAGGGGAGTGATGACCTCTGAGAGGAAGTGCGTGCCGCACAGTGCTGCGGGCACGGCCGCCCCAGGCTCGGGTTGACCCTCGTTGGCCAGTTGCCAGCTGACCTTCCCATTTCAGACGGGCCAAACAATGCGACAGGTTTGGAACTCGTACCCAGTGCCGCTGTATTACAAGTCCAGCACCATTCCCTCGGACCCACATTCTTGTCCGTCTTGACTAGCTACTCAAAGATTTCACGAGACTCTCAAGTACAAGTTCTCACCAAAGAAAGTTCTATTTGACTGCCAACAATGGCAGCAAAGTACGCATCATGCGTCTCTCAGTCCGTATAGATTTGTGATATGGCGACCGAGTTAAATATGTGGCCATGCAGATGTACATTCTCAGCACCACACTAGTACCTATTGCTTATGGGGCGGGGCAGGGGAAAGACTCATGGACCATGAAACTCTGAAATGGTGGTGGAAAATATCATGGCAAGGGCTCACCTTATTCCGCATTGGAGTGTTGAAAGAATGACAGCAGCTCTACCTTAACAACCATAAGATAGAAAGTAGTGCATGTCAGGTGGGCAGACTTATCTGATCGTGATGTTGGCTGGCGCATTTCCAGCAGCATGGCAAGGAGTACTCCATCATATCGCTCCCTTCAAGAGCGTGGTTTTTTCTGGCGAATCCTTTTGTTTCTGTGACGTTGGAAACCTGGGGATTATTGAAGTCCATTTGTTGCCCCAATTCAAATGCTATGCTATGAAAGAACTATCTGCATTTGCAAGCTGGTATAGCATATAACGGAGTTGGCAGCATAGTGAAGAAAAATATGCCCTTTTCACGCTTGAGCATTATTAGACAGGGATCTAATTTGGCACCAAATCTGAAATGCACGACAACCGGGATAAAAGGGGAGCGAAGCCATGTTTTGTCGTTGGACTGTGAAATAAGACGGTAAATGTTGCTATTTTTTGTTTTTCTCCGACATGAATGGGGGGCTAAAAAGATGCAAACAATAACAATAGGGGGGGGGGGGGGGTAGGGAATCAAACCAGTATTGGAAACTAACGCCCCTCTAAAAGTATATAAAGTGACACACCTGGGCAATGTCATAACAAGGACAAACCAGTTTTATGTCTGATGCCGGTCTGCCATCGTGTTGATATGGCAACGAGGCGATACACCTGCGTAAACACAGATGTGCTTGACTGGGGACCGGCCGGCAGTTTCGCTCAGGCTGTCGGAGCATCGCTGCCGTGTTCTCACTCGGCCAGATCC